GCTGATGGTGGTGACGATGGAGATGGCGTGACGTAATGATGGTGGTGATGACGGTTATGATGATAATGATGATGGCCACCTCGAGGTCGTTCTCGAAGTTGTCGATGTAGGGGAGCAGCGTCGCGCCGGGCAGCAGGTAGTCCGACACGTCCACGCTCCACTCGTCGGGCCCGTCGAGGGTGACCGGGCCCCTCTTCGCCAGGTGCTGCTGCCCGTCCTCCAGAGAGCCGTCTCCCACCTGAGCGGCGGAGGGGAAGTGGGTCTTTTTCTTGTTCGCGAGCGCGCAGGGATGCCAAGCGCCGTCCAGAAACGCGGCTAACAAGCAACGGCCTAAATTCCGCACAAGAGCACACAGGAAAGAAAGTGGATCTTACGCGCGAGGCCGTGGGAAACTCTCCTTTGACACCATGGCTCACGGCAGCAAGCTCCAGGCACCCCTTCGAGTGACGACAGGGAACCCGTCGAGCGCGACCCAGGTGCAACGCGCCCCCAGGAGCGCCAGAGAAACGGGGAGCGCCACACGTGTTTGGCACAAGAGAAGTTGGGGAAACGGGGAGTGGAGGAAACGGCGATGGACGCGGGAAGCCACAGGTCAACGCGCCATCAGTTACTCCAGGTGCGGCGCAAGGGCTCGCACAGGCAGGCAGCGTACAGCTTGAAGCAATCATGGGGACCATGGAACCCACGGGGCAGCTTTGCGCACGACGCTTCCGCAGCGGACCCCCTTAGAAACGATTGAACGCAACTTCGAAAGAGCACCGCACGCACGAGTAGGTCTGCGCGGCTGGTCCACCCGACCCATCACAAGGCTCCAGCCCAGGATTGTGTTTGTGTTGTCATACCTCTGGTCTGGGACAGGAGAGGCGTCAGACAATACAAGTTTAGCTTTTACGCAAAAACTGTCTTGCGGATGGGGGGGGGGAGGCAAAAATGCGGTTGGCACGAGTCCGTTTGGTACTCATGTCTTCACGCGTGTAGTGTAAGATTCAGGCACCTCGGGAAATATCCGAAATGTGGGCGCTGGACAGGAAAGAGACGTGCGAGAAGGTAGGGTATCGAATATTCGTCTGGCTCTTGTTTTCACGCGTGTGCGCGCCAGCGGGGGTATCCAACATAAGGACGCCGCATTATCTGCATAAACAGATACGTGCGCGGAACAAAAAGGGTCGAACCTGCATATGATACGTGAGCGCCCCCACCCGCGTACGCATCCGGTGTGGCTTTCACATGGGGGCGCCGGTTCTACACGCGTGAAAATACGCGCGCGGAAAGGGTATCGGACACGTATCTGGCACGAGCTCCAAGAAAATATACCCATCACGGGAACGGAATATTTTGAGCCCTCGCACATAGTGATACGCGCTGGGGAGGATGTGTGACTAACATGCGTTTGGCACGCGTGCGTGCGGCTCACGCGCGGAGACGCCATTTGGGGGCATACGCCATGGAGGCGCCCGATTGTTCCATGTGAGAACACACGCGCGGGGAAGGGATGTCCAAAATGAATTTGGCACGCGTGGGAACGCCAAAAGGGGATCCAACATGGGGGCGCCGGATTCTTCCCACGCGAATAAGTTCGCACAGACGGTATACCAAACATGCGATTGACACGCGCAAATGTGGCACATGGCTTCCGCGCGCGCTTACAGAAGAGGGGGCGCTAAGGCTTTCACGCAAAAAAGCGTACGCGGAAGGTGTCGAACAAGCGCTTGGCAAACATAAAGCTGGCACGCGTTTGCACGCGTGTCGATACCAATCCAACACGGAGGCGCCGGATTCGCCCAAATGCAGGCACTTCCCCACTACACCTCTTTACCCAGACGAAGCACAAATACCCAACTGGGGGCCGATCCGCGCGACGGGGTGCAATGTGGACGATCGTGATCGAAGCCGCCAGGGTTGCCTCGTCGCCGTAGCCGTCGCCTCCGCTGCCGTCATGTTCGAATCCACGGCGATTCTGCCCGCGACCATTCTGCCTCAATCCTGATTTCCATATCCCGATGCCAAATGTCAGCCAAGAGCGGAGCGCCCTGCCAGAGCTCCGCGACCTGGCAGGCGAGGTGGGCGCGTCAGTGAACCGTCGCAAGGTCCTCTCGAACGCAGGCTCCGGTGCTTTCCGAGCACCGATGGCGGCCGCTGCCTGCTTCGCGCAAGACAGAGCGAGGCCACGCCGACGACGCGCGGCCCAACCCCTCTGCGCCGTTTCCGCCAGCGCGCGGAGCTCAAGGCACGCGACTCGGCGCAGGCACCACACGCACGTCGGCTGATGGGCGCAGGCGTCGCCCCGCCGTTGCGGCGTGATCGTGCGCGCCGCGGGCGCCGTCGCCTCGTCGGCGCGGGCGCCGCGCACGGCTCGCCGCGGGCGCCGCGGGCTCGTCGAGTGCCATTGCGCGGGCATCGCCTCGCCATCGAATTGGCAGCGCAGGCGGCGCGAGGGCAATCAGACGTCCGTGCGGGCGCTGTGTGCGGCCGGGCGAAGGCACCGCGATCGCGCCAGATCGAAGGCCGCGGGCATCTCCTCGCCATCGCGGCGCCGTTCGCGCAGGCACCGCGGGCATTGGCTGTTGTCGGATCAGGCGCCACCCGCGGTGAAACGCAGGCGCCCCTGGCACGTCAACTGACGAGGTGCGGGCACGCCGTGTCGTCGCAGGGCACCGGCGCAGGCACGCCGCAAACACGGCAGAGGCACGCCACCCCGTTCGGGGTTGTAAAACTATAAGATGCCCAAGGGGAGAGGGGGGGCGGAGGGGTGGGTGGGGGGGGGGGGGGGCGCGTGAATCCCAGCATTGCACCGACGCCATTGCCCCAAACGGGGCGTCGTTCCCTCTGCGGGGGCGAGCGCAAGGCGGGCGGCGTCGGGGGGGGCGGTTGAACCGCCGAGCGAGGCCTCGAGAGCTCAAGCGCGCAACGCAAAGCCGCGGCGGCGGAGGTCCGCGCGCGCACCACTCCGCACGCAGGGAGAAGTAAGTTCGTCATCTGGCCCATGGCGCGTTTGGGACAGGCATAAAAACGTGGCGGCGTCGATCTAAGAAGTAACATATGAATACGCCTCTACAGATGCGCGCGCGGAACGGGGTCGAGCATGCGCACGTCGCGATCGCTCGCGCATGGAGCACGCTCCCGTCAAGTATTGAAGGCGCCAGAAGGGGGGGATCCAGCGCGAGGGCGCCAGAGTCTTCGCGCGACCAAAGCGCGGGAAAGATGGGTCGAACATGCCTCTGTCGCGCGTGCATCTGACACGTGCCATCGTGCGCGTGGGCGCCAAGCGGGGCTCTCCAACATGGGCGCGCCGCATTCATCCCAAGTAGAAATGCTCGCGCGCACACGGGGGGTCAAACGTGCGTTCAGCAAATGCGCGTCGTTTGGCTCGTAGTTTTTTTCGCGTCGGGGCCAACAGGCGGGATCCAACATGGGAGAACTGGATTTTCCAATTGTTCAAAGACGTGGATGGAGCACGGGGTCGAGCATGGCAGTTGACACATGTGTTCACACGGTTTGACGCCAGGAGGTATCCAACAAGGGGAGCCTGATTTCTAGCGCGTAGAATTGTTCCCGCGGTGAGGGGGTGTCCAGCGTGAACCTGGCACGCGTGAAATTCGCACGTGCATCCACATGTCTGGGCGCTGGAGGGTTCTCCTACATGGGCCGCCGCGATCTTCACACGTACGTGAAAATACCGGGCCGCACGCGAGGCTGCTTTCAAACTTGCGTCTCGCACGCGCGCATTCTGCATGTGGCCTCACGCGTGCAGGCGCCAAGACGAGACGAAGATATCAAGGGGCGGCCCTGTACAGGGGGAACACATCGACCTGGACTCGGGGATGCTTCCCCGAGAGATCGGCGACTGCCCGCGGTAGCACATCCGCGCGGTCCGGGGCGGGGTGGGGAATCAGGCCGCTATCGGCGATCGGTGGGCGAGCGAGGGTCGACGCATTCCTCCAAGGTTGCCTCCTATAGCTCTCGGGCGCTATAGCTCCACTCCCCGGCGGCCGTGCGGGGCGACCCGGGGGCATCCCTGGAACGCTCCCGGCGAGGCGCAGCTGCCGGAGAGCACCCCATGGGCAGGGCAGCCGCCAGGAGCCAGCGAAAGCTTCAGAAAACTTCGATGTCTGACACCCGCTGGTGTGACTCCAGTCAGTGCTTGCACCGAAGGGGTCCTAGCGGGCTTTGAAAGATTTGGCGAACATTTCCCGCCGAACTTGGTAGCCAGTTCCGGGTTCCCGGGTTCCCGGATTCCTGGTTATATTGGTTCCGGACCGATTTCGGTGGGTCCCCGGTTCCCGGGTTCCTGGTCGATCTCCCTATCGATCTCTTGATCGATCCCATGTCAAGCCATCCACGGATTGGGGTTTTTCTCTGCTGTGATTCCTTCAGCCCGCCAGGGTCCGTCGATCGTGGGGGCGCCAGGCTCTTCACCCGGCGGCGGGCCGCGGGCAAGGTGCGAGAGGGGGCGCCCGCGCTGCCGGTCGCTAGGGCCCCCTCTCCGGCATCGGGCGACGACGGCTAGAGAAGGCAGGGAGGGGGGCGAACGACGACGACGACGACGACGACGACGACGACGACGACGACGACGACGACGACGGCGGCGGCGGCGGCGGCAGCGGCGGCGGCTACGACGACGACGACGACGGCGGCGTCGACGACGACGACTAGGGGGGACGAGGAGGAAGACGGGGAGATGGAGGAAGGAGAGGGCAGCCGAGGAGCGGCGAGAAGATGAGGAGGGAGAGGGGGGAGGCGGAGGGGGGGAGAGGAGAAGGAGCCGCCGAGGAGCGGCGAGAAGACGAGGGGGAGAGGGGGGAGGCGGAAGGGGGGGAGACGAGAGAGAAGGAGCGGCGGGCAGAAGAGGGGGAAGAGGAGCTGGAGGACAAGAGGGAGCGGTGGAAAGAAGAGGGGGGCGAGGAGGGGGGAAGGAGGAAAAGAAGGCAGTAGAACACTTGAACATCAGCTTTTTCGCGCCCTCCTCGTAAAGGCCGCGCACTCGCACGTAAGGTGATGCAGATTTCGCAGTTTTGGGGGGTGACTAACTTTCAAGTAAAGAGCATCGTGGAGGGCGCGAGGGAGGATGCAGTGCGCCCCCTACTGGGCGCGGACCGACGTGCGATCGTCGACTTCCTCCCTCGCTGCTCCCTACATGCCTGCCTCAAGACTACAGCTCCCTTGATTCTGCATGCGTGTCCCTCCACCGACACCCGATGTCGCCAAAACACACACACACATACAGCAGGGGCCCGACCACAAGAAACCTTCCACCAGAAACCCAACCCTGAGTCCCCATGACGTCCATTGATTTCTGGCGTGGGAACGTCACGGCTTCTGTAGCAAAAACATAAAAACCCAAGAAACCCAGGGCACCCTGGAGGCGAGCAGGGTGTTTCTTGGCATGGGCCTCCACTGTACACACCCAACGTCGCGAAGAGAGCCACGACCAGAGCCCTCGACTCCGTCCTCCGGACCCTGACTTTCGGGGCCCGGCCGATCAGTGCGGGCCCTGGGGGGCCCCGAGCCGACAGCCGCGATTGCGCCTCCACGACGCAGGCGAGGGTGCCAGGCGGGGCGCAGAAGGACATACTACGGCAGAGGGAGACAATTACTGAGCACTCCCCCTCCCCCAAAACTCAAAGTTGGCACGCGCGGGGAGGAGCACTGCGGTCGAGGTGCAACTCATCAGACCCACCGCCAACTCTGAACACTGGGGATGAATGTGGCATGAGGTCTCGCTCTTTTCCGAGGCCTGTAGCACCGTGTGTCCTCCTCGGAGGCGTGCGCCCGACCCGGACGTTGAGTACACAGGCATCTTGCAGCAGAGCGCTCACCGAGCGGCGTGGCCAGAGAGCGCCCGCCACGCAGCCCATACTAGAAGGCTTCTCGGCGCGCACGTCGCCTCTACGGGGGGGGGGGGGGCGACTGGGGGGGGGGGGGGGCGACGCACACATCGCATCAGTACGTTGGGGTGGCGCCGATCAGGGCCCCCAGACATCGGATGCGGTGACTGTCTCCACACAGGGCCCCCAGAAGCCCCGACCTCTTTCCCGAGGGCTGGCCGTTCGTCCCGAATGTTCGTTGCTCAACAACCCCCCGGGGCGCAAGAAGGGCCTCTGAGAGCCGAACTGCTCAACAAAACCTAGAAAAGAAAAAACATGCAACCAAACAAACAAAAACACGCATTTGCCATACAAAACACCCGTGACGAGAATTTTTCCTCTGGGGCCGAGAGCGACGGTTTGAAGTCTGGGGCAGACGCGCATGAGATAACCACCGTCAGATCCAATGAAGTTCGCGCGTATCCAACTTTGGGTTTGGTTTCTGTTTCGGTGGACATGATTCCCGCCCGCGCGGATCCGATTTGAGATTTTCTGGATCCGCGCCCGGTCATACTTTTTACGTCGGATCCGACGTCTACACCGTTTTGACTCTCCGGGGGAGGGGGTGTCGTCAACACCTTCCCAGATTGGGTCCTGCGCTGCGTGGCGCATCCCAATCAACTTTCACCGCGCGCGGGGCCCCACTCAACATGGAAACATCTCTCTCTTCCCTGTTGCTGCGCGCAGCTCGTCCAGACGCCGTCGGTTCGACGGCGCCGATGTTTTCTCGCGAACTCATCATTGCCTTGTCTGCCTCAAGAGGACATTGTTCCGTCCTGCGCAAGTATTGTGCTCATCAAAACGTTGGGCGTTTCGGAGAAGCCTCGGAAACGATTACGTCGACGCCCGTTGTACAGCAAAAAGCGCTGCACGAAAACTCGAAATCGACGACATCGGTTTAGATGTTTTATCGTCGACGGCGCCATGCAAATATGCAAACGAGGACGTCTACCCACGGTAGAGCGGTGCCAATAATCGTCGACGACGGCCCTCCAGAAACGCCAACGAGCCTCCCAGACGACGACGACCACGACCACGACGACGACGACGACGACGACGACGACGACGACGACGACGACGACGACACCGCCTGGCCGATGGGGTGCTCTACGGCCGCGTACAGGCCGCCTCTCGGGGGCGTCCAAGAAGAGGGGGGCGCAAATCATGGCCGGCGGCATGGGCGCGGCCCGGTAGGGGGGAGGAGGAGGAGGAGGAGGAGGAGGAGGAGGAGGAGGAGGAGGAGGAGGAGGAGGAGGAGGAGGAGGAGGAGGAGGAGGAGGAGGAGGAGGAGGAGGAGGAGGAGGAGGAGGAGGACGAGGAGGAGAAAGAAGAGGCGGATGGGACGCATTGAAATAGGAAGAGGCGCAGTGAAATCTGGGGAGATATCATGGCCACCGCCATGAAGTGGCTGGACCTAGGACAGGAGAACGTCCTTTAAGACCACAAGACTGTCCGCTGACCACGCCGAAGAACATTCGAGGGTACCCTCCCCCAGGATGCGCAAGAACGCCCAACAAGCACGAAGAACATCAGGGTACCCTTCCCAGACCGACCTCGATCCTATACCTCGGTCCGGCGGTATCACGGCCCCCGAAAGGTTCCCCGACCCCACCCGAAAAATGGGAGTCTCGTAAAG